AAGCAGACTCGCTACATCGGCGACGTGGTCAAGCGATTCGGTCAACAAGATGCCAAGAGAATGGATAACCCATGTGCATCAGGATTGAAGCTGTCATCGAAGCAGTCACCAACAACGGAAGAGGAACGATCGGGAAGGCAAACCAATCCTTATCGCTCTTTGATTGGATGCTTGCTGTTCAAAACGACATGCACTCGACCGGATATTGCATACGTGGTAACACAGCTATCACTATTTTTGAGAACCCTAGACTACGACATTGGAGCGCAGTAATTCAGGTTGTAAGGTACTTGAAGACTACGAGCCAAATTGGGATCGTATACCGAGGAAGTGGGAGCGTTGCGATTAAGGCATACTAGGACGCAGATTGGGGCAGCAACACCGATGACAGACGTTCGGTTTCGGGAGTTATGGTCATGATTGCGAGGGCCTCAGTGGTATTCAAGTCGAAATATCAGCGGACGGTTGCGCTAAGCTCAGCGGAAGCTGAGTATTTGGCTCTCAGCCTTTGCATGCAGGAAATTCTTTGGATGCGGGCAATGCTAAGAGATATGGGACACGAGCAAGATGAAGGAACACAGGTTTGGGAAGACAACCAATGTGCGATCGCGTTAGCCAATAATGTCGGACATCACGCTAGGATGGAGCATGTGGGTATCAAGCACCACTTTATTCGCAAGAGCATGCAAAGAGGACTGTTGAAGATCGACGATATTGACACGAAGAGTCAGCTTAGTCAAGGTCAAATCAGCGACAACGCCAGCGCAACATGAGCGGTGAGTTGGAGTGTTGAGATTACACCGCTGAATGCATGTTGAACAGGCAGATGACTTCACCATATTTACAAGCACGTCACAGTCATAATGGTTGGTGGTAATTGGTCTTGAAAAACCAGGATGCTTATAGAAGCTTCTAGAAGGATCTAGAAAGACAGGCTTGAGGTAGCACAGAGTAGCAAACTAAGGACCTAAAATATATTCACTGCTGTTCTTACTTTCTACTCAACAGTATCACATTATGATTCGATGGTGCTATTATAAATCTTTCAGCAGAATGACAAGGTAAGCTTAATCATTTACTGTTCACCGGAGATGTCATATTAGCATCTACACGTATCAAGTGCTCCAGCGAAAGTATTGGCGTGCGCCAAAATACAGCTGCTTTAGTAGTCGAATGCGATGAGGTAGCTTTTCACACAAAAAGGCATAAAGTGTCTTTGCCTCATACTCTCATAGACTCTGCAATGTCAAAATGGAAAGTTGTTAGAATCTGAAATGCTGCCATGTTATTTTCTACGATAGTAAACTAGAATTTGCACGTATGTAAACTACACATTCTTTGTATAAAGTTCTAACGAATATGCATCACATTGTGACAAAACAAAAAACACAATCTGCGCAAGAAAAACGGATAGTAGCGATTTTCGAGAGCATGTCTGTCGAAATATAGAAAGCAACCCTATAAAAGTTCCAAGTCCCATCAGGGAACGCTCAATATGAATATGTACTTAAATGTGAAAAAACAATGTTTACAAATGATTAAAATTTGCTTATCATTCTCGTCTATATCATGCGATAGTTTTTTATACGTGGAGTCATGTCAGTGGAATTTGGTACTATGGCTTCAACAGAATCGAACAAATCAATAATC